CGGGGGCGGAGGCGCACGCCGCTCGCGCAGGGCTCGCTTTGCGGAAGCCGCCCGCCGCAGCCGGCCGGCGATCGCGCCTATCGCCTTTCCTCCGACCGCGCCCCGTCCGCGCGCCTGCGACGAATAAGGATCGACGCGATGCCGCAAGGGGCCGCTCGGGTTATGTATGCGTTGGAGCGGATGGTAGCCAAGAGGCTACTCCTCGTCAAAATCAACCCTGACCTGGATGGGTCCAAAGTCAATACGTCGTGAAATGACCGGATTACAAGCTCGTGCCATTATAAGAATCGATTAGAGGTGTATTGATACATATATCTTTAAACACTTTTTCAAATGTGGTTTATTATAGAAAAATTAAATACCGACCCTCGCGTCGTTAATTTTCGAAATAATAATTTATTTCTTAAGTCGTTAAACAATAAGTTTAGCTCTTTATTCACCAGTTGTATTTTTTACACTCGTAAGAAAATTTAATATTGAAGTTCTATGATTTTCAATCTGCATTGATCATTATTGAAGTTCTCTCATTTTAAATTTGCGTTCAGAATAGAAAACTTTCAAATAATTGTTTCTGCGAAACCATCGGAGTCAACAAAAGCCCAGTGTAATCTCAGCTTAGTAGTTTTCTAAAAAAGTGTTGGATATTAAACTACAACATGACTGTGCGTTATTGTGAGGGCTTCTTTCTATCGCGACAAAACATAATAACGGGCTCTTCCAATGTTTACTCAGCGCGTTCGGCTTCCACACTTCCGTTTTTCGGGAGTAAGCCGCTTAATATTCGGGGTTTCCGTGCAATATGAAAGCCCGCGGGAAGCGATATTGACGAGCTGCCAGGCGAAGCTCGGCACCGCCACCGGCGCCGAGGGCAAAACGATGGAAAAACCGCTCCCAGAAGGTCCGAGGGCGCATATTGTGTCGATGGGAAAGAGAATGTCTAAGAGCGTTCGCGGTCTCGGATGACTGGCCAAGGCGGGGCGGCGTTCAGCTTTGTGACTAAGAAAGCGGTGGGATCGCGTGAGAGTAGAACGGAACATTGTAGTGGAGAATGTATGAACCAATAAATATTGAAACGGAGTCGACTGGTTAGTGTAGGTCAGTGCCGTGGGGCGCTGCTTTGTCAGAGAATGATTCTCAGCGCGTTTGTCGGCCCTGAAATGAAGACTTTCTTCAAGAAAGGTGACCAGAAACAAATTCGGAAATCAATAAGGAAATGTGTAGGAAAATATTGAAAGAAATGTCATGCGTGACTTACGTATAGAGAACGAATAGTTCGCTATAAATATTTATTCATGCTTCTTTTATTTCTTGAATGTCGAAACTATCGATAGTATAGTAAATTACTAAAACTATATTTTTGAATACGTATCATTGGCTTCTGAGGGAGGTGTCTGAAGCCCCGTCACCACTTCCGTTGGTGTGCCACTAGTCATACTTACTTTTAAACTAACAGTAATAATTGTCATTATGTTTTGAGTAAAGGGTATTTCATTTTTGCAATACATCTCTTTAATTACATCTATAATCTATAACTTGGTTTTTCTGACATTATGTTCATCGACCAAGATCGCTATAACATAGAAGGGAGGGTTCATCCAGTGAAAGAGGATATTTGTATGAAGGATGAACTATTTTGAGCAGTTCACCCTACAAAAGAATCGCCATTTTGTCGGCGCTTATACAATGCCGCTCTCGACCTTGTGATCAAGTGCCGTAAAATAATTGATTACCCCTTGGAGGCCATGCTGGTCCGAAATTACACTGCTATAAATGGAATTCGGTTCTGTGATGTTAGGTTGGCTGGTACTTCACAGCCCGTACATAAGAAATTTTCGTTTCTAAATTTAAATGGACAGAAATGGATTATTCTTTATTTTCTTTGTCGATTCGTGAAGTAATGTGTGGGGTTTTTAAAATCAAAATTGTAATGTACGAATGCTGATATTTATTTTTATATTATTACTAATATATAAGAACTGAAAATAGATAGCAGCGGAAAACTCAAGCAGGTTTTGGAAAGAGTTGACTGCTGTATTTTACACGTATTTCGTGAAATGAAGAAAGAAATAAAATATTGATTAGTATTTAAGCATCAGTATAAACTTGTCTGTTCATTCTCGGAAAATGAAATGCTTTCTGAGAATGTGAAACCGAATAACTCAGAGCCATCTCGCCTGGAAGGCACGCCTCTGTAAGGTTCTTTCCTCTATTACGTTATCAACCCGAAAGCAATTTGTCCCAGATCGCAGCTCCGCGCGCCGCGTGAAAGACAGAAGGGCAGCGGCGCCGCAGGGGCCGAGTCGCGCGCGGCGCGCGGGGGCGGCCGACAGGGCGATTGAACCGAAGCGGCGCCGCGCCTGCGACCGGACGCCGCCGCTCAAGAGGACTGGGGACGCCCCCGCGCCTCCTGCTGCAGCGACGCCGTCGATACCCGACCGGAGCCTCTTATCTCCTGTCTCAGTGGTCTTCCTCACGGCTGCTTCCTTCCTCGACTACCTTTTTTTTTCCTTCTGCCCGGCCGCCCACTGGGGGCTGCAACGTTTACTAGAATGCGCTTCGAAGCTCATTCTGATATTAACTGCGCAGTTGTTTTTACATCTGAAGGCAAGAATCGGTTTTGGCATGGCAAAGTGATATTTTCTGATTGGTGGTTCAAAGGATCATCAGACTATCCTAGTTCGTTTGTACTCGTATATACATAGATTTACGTGTATAAACATGATTCTTGTGAATTTCATACACTTTTTTACTATTTGTACTTAATTCCCTTTACTAATTTTCTTATCTTTTGGTCTTCCTCACAGCTCCTTTTACCCACTGGGAGCTGCTACGTTGACGAGAATATGCTTCGAAGCTCATTCTGATATTAACTGTACAACTGCGCAGTTTAAAAATCTGAATGCAAGAATTGGCTTTGGCATGGCGTAATGATATTTCCTGATTGGTGGCTCAGATGATCATCCGTCTATCCTAGTTCGTATATACTCGAATATAGATTTACGTGCATAAACATGGTTGTTGTTAATTTCATGCACTTTTTTTACCATTTGTACGTAATTCACATTCCTCTTTTTTATCTCCTGTGTCAGTTGTCTTCCCCACAGCTTCTTCTTTCGACGATGTGTATTTCATTCTCCCCGACCACCCACTGGGGGCTGGTACGTGTATCTACATATACACCGACGCTCATTCTGATATTGTGCTTCCCATTTTAAACGTGCAACTGCATACTTTTTACATCTGATTGCAAGACTTCGTATTAGCATGACATAATATTATCTGATATGTGGCTCAGAAGATGCATCGATGATGAGACTATCCTAGTGTGAATATAGATTTACATAGGCGGAGCGAAAACTTTCATACTACTTCTTGCCAAAAACGCTCGTTGCTACCTATGGTCATAATTCAATTCAATTCAATGAGTTCGGGCAGAGATCCTAGAGCTCTGGAAACCGTCCACAGATTCAACTTCTTTTCATCGCACTTCCCAGAGTTGTAACGTTAAATAAAATGAAATACCCCGGCATATGAACGTGATTCTTTGTAATTTCATTAATAGCTTTTTACCAATTGCATTTAATTTACATTACTGATATCAATCACCGTAAGCGCCATCTCTACCGAATCATCTCATCTCCACTGACGTCGGGCCAAAGTTGGTCACCTGCTCTAGGGGTGCTACATCCATGTCGATGTTTTTTAAAACATCGTTGTATTTACGCTGATGTTTTGTAACATCAATGTTTTCTGATCGATGTTTATCCTTTACGATGTTTTGTTTCTGAATGAAAAATTCCCATGAGTACAATACTGTAAAAGTTAACATATTAAGTAATAATTGATGGTAACACTTAATTTCTTTAGGTCCAATTCATAAACTATGTTTGTACTACCTTCCTCGACCAAACTCTCTCGCCCGAGATGACCTACATGCTCTTGTATTTCCTCATTCTCCATATTCATTTCGCACATTGAGATAAGGTTATGTTCGAATATATGTTCGCTAACATCGATGTTTTGTTATCGATGTCGCATCCCTATCCTGCACTCGCCCAACCCCTGATTTCGCGCTGCCCCCACACACCCCCTCCCCGCCTCCTCCGGCGCGCCCCTCCGCCTCTTCCAGTCTCCGCCGCCTGCGCCGCCGCCGCCCCGAGTGTCGAGCTGGGAGCTATCGATTCCCGGGGCGGCGGCGATGGCGGCGCACAACTAACTACCGCCTCTTGCGTAAAAGCCGGCGGCGGGCGCGGCGGACGCCCGCTGCCGCGGGGGCTCGCGATAAGCCCTAACGACAGCCGCCACGGCGCGCGCCGCCGAGCGGGTTGCGTCACCCGCCGACCCGGCGACGGCAGGGGGGCAACCCCTAATTTTCTCATCTCGTAGTCTCGCTGTTCATCGATGGGTGGCTACAAATAATAAAAGACAGATTGCTTGTCGGCGTGTTCCGTTTATTGTTACGAAAGATGGGAGGAAATTAAAACATGTTGCGGAGAATGTAGATATGAATTTTTCAGGTAATCTGCGAAGTATATTCTTCTTCTACGAAGACAAATATAATTTAAACGATTAAATATTAAATTATTAATACTACAGACGTCTAATTATTTTTCTATGAACTAGAATTGTTGTACTTCCTGTTCACTATTATAACTACTATTATACAAAGCAATGTCAATAACGAATTTATATCTCGCTTATAAATTAGGAACTCAATGTAATTCATTTTTCAGTATTCTACTTGAAAGCAAATTCAACGTACTTTTAGCATTCCGCTAGCGAGTGGTCCTTCTTGCATTTATGAAAATAAAAAGCATTTATGCTGAAAATACACGTAAATTATACGCTTTATGAATTCACAGAATATCGAATGAGAATGCTATTTCAGTCATTTCAAAAGCGATATAAATGTTCATTAAATATTCATTTCTCTTTTACTGAGAACGCTTCCGAAATAAATTCTGTACATGCAACTTGACCAGTGAATATAATAGCTTTATCGAGAACATGGAATATTGACTCGTTCCTGACAAGTTGAAAGGGAAAATATTAGGATATATATTTTATTCTAAAAATGTTTTTCAAATAAAGGCATTACTCATTTTCGAAGAAAAAAATACAGGATAGAAGTTTTGCCCACGCTGTCAATTCGTTTTCTCTACTTATCCGAGACATTTTGACTTTGTCATAGTTGACTTATATCCCAATGTGGTTTTAGGTTGACATGTTAAAAATATGGTCAGTTTATATTGTGATCTTCCAAAAGTATATTTATGAAAACATACATTTATTTTTATGTATTTTATTTATTGTGTTTTGACTGACAATGTACTACTTTTCTTTCAGTTTTTGAAGAAAGGCAATTATTAAACATCTAGAATAGTCGAAATCAACACTGACGTGTACAGAATGTTATAAATAAATTTATATTTGAATGGGTGAAATCCAGAACGGTGTAAGTGTCATTTTAAAAATTCTGAGAAATCTGTTTAAGATTTACTATAATGTCGTAGTGCTTTGTTTCATCATTAAAACCACGGCATCGCAATTGTTCATTAAATTCACCAAAATACATTGCCACTGAAATATAGCCAGTGATTTGACTTCAATGCACAGATTTCTCAGAATTTATAAAATGTCACTTATATCGTTCTGTTTTTCACACATCCATTTAAACCTCTCTTCAAAATATCTTCCAAATAATTATTTAAAATAACGAAAGGAAAGTGCTAATACAAAACAGTTTTCTCTTATTTGAGATCTGATGGTAGAATTTGATAAAGCAAAGTAATATAATGCGGACAAATAGAAGTTTTCTCAAATTTAATAATATCATGCTTTGTGAGTTCAGACAATCTTCGAAACAAGCGAAATCGAAGTAACAAGTAGCTTGATACATCGCTATTGAGTTGTAACTTGTCGTGATTATGATTACAGTAGCTGAGTTTGTATAACGTTACCACTGATGGTGATTGGAATATTGGGGGTCGATGATAACAATGAAGGTATGAATAATATCGATGCAATTTTAAAATGAGTCAGAAGAGACAAGAGACATTCTACCGCTAACGCACTCTGTCCTCCAAAAATTCCACCTGGCGGGACCAGGATTTGAATCCCGGTCCCCGAAAGTGCGCTCCAACCGCTACACTGAGGAGGCGACGAATAAGAAAACGAAAAAAAAGAATCCTCCCCGATTCCTCGACGTCGACTCGAAAGCGACCGCCGAACGGCCAAACGCTGTGGGGGGAACGGAGCTGCCAGGGAAGGCACGGAGGCGCGCTCCGGCGCAAAGCAGCGGACGCCCGCGGCGCTCGGACCGTCCTCGCGTGGGTCGCTTGGCGACCGGACGCCGCCGTCCGCCCCCCTCCCCGCGTGTGACGTCGGCGCAGCGGTCGCTTTTTGAGTCGCATCGCCCCGCACGCGACGCCGCCGTCCCTCTGCCTCTGCCGGCAGTGCGCGCGCGTCGACCTAGCTGCGCGGCCACCGCTCGTCGCACGTCCTCCTCAGGTGATCAGTAGGCTCTCGTTCCACGCTCCACGCATTCAGTGCAGGTATTGTCAGCTGGACCACAAGCGGAAATGCGTTACGATTTTTCTTCTTTTTTCTCTCCATTTTCTTGATCTCGTTTCCTTGTTTTCCTTCTCTTCTCTTTTTTATTTTATTTTCCTTTCTTCCTCGTATTTAATTTCTCTTTATTTTTCCCCTTTTTTGTTCATTATTCTCTGAGCTCTCTTTTTCCTGTCACCCACTTTATATGATGTTAATTTCGTTGTGCGAAATGTTGAGTATAAGTGGCCTAGGAAGTGTAACAATTTAGAATGTGCAGAATACAGTAAATTTATTTTACATTGGTTCGAGAAATCTGATATCTTTCATTGCATTTCCGCTGATTTTACTTCACCACTTCGATAATGTTGCAAGTATTAATATGATTGATTACGAGGTTCATTGCCAAGAACAATCGTACAATCACATGATTACATGCTCAAAATAAGTTCGAAAGGAGATGATATCATCGAGATTAGTTAGCTTTAAGTTGAACGTTGATTTTCATTTGTTTCTTGGCTCAAGGCAAGGAAATTCTGCTTTGCGTCCCCTAGACTGACGACGTTCTCCCAAAAACCTTCCTTGGAGCGGCAGATCTCACTTTGCATGTGAAATAGAATTCGATTTGAGGCCTCGGATTTATTCAAATTATGATGCTAGAAATTATGATTAGAAGTTTAAAATTTACGATCCACTTTACGATGTGCCATGCATTATTTGGGATCTGCCTCTGTCCAGTCCAGTGTCCATGCAGACCCATTTTGTCCTGGACATTTCGTGCACCCTGATGAACGTTCAGGGGGCCACTGGCCATTTGTAAATCCGACCTTCACCTTTAGGTGAAGGTTGAAGGAAGACGTATCGCGTGCGACTGGAGTTCGGTTCAGCAACCTCCACTTTGGCTTTCACAGAACACGTTCGAAGAACAAAAACCTCTCGCTCGATTGGGCGAAATGAGGCCCAGGCTTCCAAATTCCGAGGGTGCGCATCCCCTCTCTGCTCCTGTGCCTCATCATCACTATTCTTCAGAATTACTTCAGCACAGAAGCATGAGGGAACGTTAATACTATTTACATTTTGTGGTATTAATGCGCCAGCTAACTTATTTTTGAAGCTCTGTTTTATGAATTACAAGCACTAGTGGGAAACGTTTGCTATTCTTACTTTTATTGCTTATCTAAAGCACTTTTCAGTCAGTCCTGAGTATGACGTACCACGGAAGAAAAACAACCAGTAAGACAATAGAAGGGTAGTGTTTCATTACTTCGAGACTTTTTTATAATAGCGATTGGTGTATTCCCAAAACGGACTATCTTCAACGTTTATTGCGATTGATTGTTTTTATTTCTACTTTCCTGGTATTTCGTCATCTTTTGTCTTTCCAATCAACTCTTGGAAGTGTACCAGTTGTCAGGCATCTATATTTAGTTGTTTTTTTAATGGGAATTGTAGTCTCGAATGGAATGTCTTTAGGTAGCATTCAACATGATCCATCTCGTATAACGTTTCCTTCCGAAAGCAAAATAATTACCAACCAATTTTGCGACAAGGAAAAGCGACTCCGGTTGCGAACAAAGACGAAGGTTGCCGTCGCGCGACCGCCTCTGCGTCCCTGCGCATTTGGCTTCTCCTGCAGGCAGCTTGGCGCAACATCGGAGCGCCCAATTCCTCGTTATTCGAACGCTGCGGGAAGTTTGTGAATTTTAATAAGCGCCGTCTTGGTGCTGGATGTTTGCTCCCCTTCCGCTTGCGGCGAATATTCCTCGAAAGGTCAACAACTCTGTTTGCAGTGACGTTGCGAGCGCGGATGCAAATTGCAGCTCTGTGCCTCCGCGTGATGGTGAGGGAGCAGGTCGGCGTCGGCGTCGTGTTGGGTGCTGTTGTGCCTGCGACACTTTGGTTCCGCGTGATCGTTATTTTATTAGGGTTCTCGAAATGGTTTAAAAGATAGAACACTTGCGTTATCGTAAAGCGGGAGGTTCGGTGTTTATCCGCATGTGTTACGTATGGTTTGGCGACTAAAGAGCATCCGAAGTTTTCGGGTGTTTTCTAATGTTCCGTTAGGTAAACATTTGTTTCGTTAGGTAAACATCACCCTTCACTGATTTTGAATTCTGTTATAAGTTAATATTATGATTATATTTTGGGAGTTGATGGTATCTCTTAGTGTATTTGAGGAAAGCTCGGTACAGAGAATTTTATGAGTTTGGATTCTCGAAATGAGGAACATTACTCTAAAATGTGAATTTGGGTTTTGTGATTACCTTGTTCATATTATACTCTTGTTGCAAAATAAGACAAACTGTATACTATTAAGATAATATCAATAAAATGGGCATTAAAGACGCTGGAGAACTGTATTTGCTTATCTCCAGAACGTGTGAACGCCCGTACGAATTGGCAAAACAGTTTTTATAAATACTATCAACGTAATACCTCGCACTATGAACAGACATCGGTTCGTCCACATGATTTTCAAAAAATGCTGTGTAGAGTGGTGAAATATGGAACACTTTCTTTATCAACACACGCTCCACTTTTCACCAACACTTCCTTTGTGTCTTTGTGATTGAGCGTAATAGCTTTGTGCGTTAATACATTCATACTCTTCTTTCATTGATCTCTTCCAAAAAACAATAGTTATTTTATTTACACACAAAAATAAACCCCACGAAAAACACTTCATTTGAGGCAGAAATAGAAAATATGAACATTGTTTGGGAGTCGTTGAAAATGGAATTGCTGAAAAGACATGTTAGCATGCAATGCACAAATTTTAATTAAAAAATATTCATGTCCTATTCTGAAGCACTAAAGTACACTCCTGTTTTGCTTGAATTCGCTTCAAAATTTAATATTACATCGGTTTAAACTTTATCAGTATCTCCGCAAACTATTACTTCTTCCTGTTGATGCATTCCTCAATATTGTTTGAAAGACGGCGACAATATTCATTTATCTTATCTTCAATTGGAGACCTCACTAGAAAAGGCGGTCGGTTCGTATTGGATAATGGAGAAAAAAATGTTGAGAAGGGAGCTAAAAACAACCCTCATTTCACTTTCAACTTGCTCCGGCATTGACCGAACTCTGGGAACCCGGAGGAAATCTCATTTGGAGCGACCCCGATGCCATTAAGCACGGGACGCCATTAGGGGACAGGAGACTCGCGTCGAGAGCTAACAAAGCGGCCACCGCTCGGAAGGCTGACGAGCGTATTGCGACGAAAAACGCGCGCGCGCGGTCGCGCACTTTTCTCTCTTCCTTTCGGACTGTTTTCTCCCTCCGATACACGAAGGGAAGGAAAAGTTTCTTAGAGAATGGCTCGAATTAAAGTATGCTTTTATCGTTACATACGTCTCTGAAACGCGCTGGTTTTCTGTCGATGTTTACAAGTAGATAATTGATTCTTTTCTTCAACTGATTCTCGTCGCTTTGTAAATTTGATGTTTCCATTCTAAACGTTTTATTTGACAAGTAAATACACGAGTATGTTATGAATTACCTGCATTTGTGGAATATATCGTATTATTCATGATTGTTGGTAGGTGAACGGAGGTAAGAATTATGGAAATTATTTTAAAATAGTAGGGATCGTTTATTTTATTTAAGTGGATGTTCAAAGTGTCTAAAAGTCTGCTTGAACAATGTTTCATTATTTACTTAAGCGTCAAATATTTTGGCCAGCTTTGCTCTAGAGATTCTGCATTCAGAAGTTGCTTCAGTGTTTGCACTTCTATCCAGAGCAGAAACAAATAATAGACAAAAGCAATCATTATTATATAAGCTGAGCAATAAGAATATTGGTGGCGTGCGAGGTTTTAATTAGAGTATTAATAATATTATATTAATTAAAAGTAATTTAGAGGTCTGTTCGTGCCAAAGATAGAGGTCAGAGAACACTGCTCTGTGTCAATTGCATTATTTCTCCCTAAGCTGTTGCAATTGGCACGCAATGTGAAGATGAACGAAAGGGAATAACATTGTTTTGGACCAGCGTACAATTGAGCAGTAAACTTTCAATAAAAAATGAAAAATATAGCATAAATGTTACTACTTAATGTATTGTAAGACATCACACTTTTTTCTTGGAATTAGGTATGTGAAAGTAGGTAAAAACGACGGACTCAGCAGACGAACTCAGTTTTTGCCAAATGCTCATGTCACCTCCTGAATGTTTGATCCTGGCCTGCAACTAAGATAGTTGAGGGACGTGGGTCTGACCAACGGCCTTCCCTGCCTGTTGCAGGAGCAGAGCCCTCGCGGCCGCCAGCCAGCCAGCGAGCGAGCGCGCCAGCCAGCCAGGAGGGCGGGCGGGGCGGCGAGATGCGCGGCGGAGGCAGCGGCAAGCGCGGCGAGTCGGCCATCCACCGCGTGCAGGAGGTGGCGCTGCCGGCGCTGGCGCTGGAGCGCGAGTACGACGTGGCGCGCGTGCTGGGCGAGGGCTGCTTCGCGCGCGTGCTGCTGGCCACGCACCGCCGCACGGGCGCCGCCGTCGTGCTCAAGGCCGTGCACGCCGAGGTGACGCCGCTGCGCGACTTCTACCGCGAGTTCCACTACAGCTACCACCTGAGCGCGCACCCCTGCGTGCTGTCCGTGTACGCCGTCGCCTTCCGCGCCGACCACTGCTACGTCTTCGCGCAGGTGGGTGCTCGCGCGCTGCACACCAATCACAACACTAACGCCTCATCCCCGCCCACGTTCGCTTCCGCAAAAACTACTTTTTTCTCTCTTTTCGTTCACGTTCATTTTATCCCAATTCATTTGATATGCCAGCATGTTATACGTACATGGCTGGAGTTTACAGTCATACTTCAAACAGAAAATGCGAGGTCGGATGGGATCCCCTGAGCGCCTCAATAGTTTTGGCTGACACGCGTCCCGGATACAGTTACCGACTAGGCTGTTACGAGCGTGTCCCCCGACAGCCGAAAATCTGCTGTATTGTTTGGTGGCTAGGTGGCTTGTAATGTCCGAGCACTTGCTCACTGGGCTCATATTTGTGTGATTAACCAACACCCAATTATACTATTAACGATGAGATGGAAATGATAATGATAATAATAAATAGTAATAATGGTAGTTAGCAGGAGCAGACGCAATAATAAAAATGACGATGATAATTTAGGATACACAGCCAAAAATCTACTGTATTATTTCATGGATGGTTGGTTTGTAAAGCCTGAGCACTTGTTCATTAATACATTGCTTCATTCAGACATTGGTTCCGACATGTGTGTCATTCATGGGAATCTTCTAGTTCTAACCTAATAACCTCACGGGCTGGTAAATTTTGACTTCCCATAGCAATGACCAGGGTAACATTTATCCATAGCTTTTGCCGTTGTAGATATGCGAATACGGGATCTAATCTACCTTTTATACACCGCAAGTACAACATCCACAATGTGGATTTTCCGTCACTGTCTCAGAAAACTCTACGCACCTCACCCTGAATCAAACGCTAGCCTTATTCAAATTCAAATACAAAATACTTGAATGCTACCTTATGTTTAGGACTATTATCAATTGGCGCTAAAAAGACGGGAAAATAACTACCCCACTCTCTCATGAATCTTTACTGCAAATGCCAACCGGAAAACTCTCAGCCGCTGAAGGCATTTATCTAATACTAGTAAATGCGTTATGCACAAACAAATCTAATAAATTTATGAATGCAGTGCTTGCAGTCGGCTTCTAAATATTGATGTTTGCCCAATTCGTCCTCCCCTGCGAAACAAAAATGTTTTTCCCTTTCGGATATTGCTATTATTGGAAATAACATTAATATTTTGCTAATGAACGCCAAATACAATAAATATAGTCACGTAACTGTGTAACCGTGGTGATGAAAATGAATATAATAAGTTTATAAATGTCAAAGAGATAGAATTTCTGTGGCAGACATATGACCATAATATGTAATTATGACGCGAGTGGTTTGTAAAATATTTTATCAGAAAGCGTCTGTACACAATAATTATCTAATATTCTCGGATTTCACGGTGGAAATTAAACCAGACTGCAAATGAAATTCTAAAACACGCGATTTGCGAGTTTGAAACTGTGGATGCAAAGCGTGGAAAGCGGAAGTACATAAAATAAATCAGTTTTGGTTGTTCTTCACAGGACTCAATAAACTAATACCGTATTTACATGTAATTAAAATGTTCTAAGGTTGTTGTTTTTTTTAAAGGTCGGGTTTGAGAATACAAGGAGCACCTGTTGTCTCTGCTAATGTCCATGATATTCTTTCCTTAAGTACTTCTGAAATAATTTAGCTAAATATCAGGGAGAAAATAATTGACACAAAAGCAACATTTTATTATTATTATTATTATTATTATGATTATTATTATTATTATGATTATTATTATTGTTGTTGTTATTACTATTATTGTTATTAATAGTACTCGAATTTTATAAGATCACAATTTAAGATGTTAGGTGTTGGTTCAATATGAATATGTAATCCAGATCGCATCCGGCTTCCTAAGTAATGACTCTGCCGCTCTTAAAGCAAAATGATGCTGGTTATGGTTGTGATGGTGTGCTTGTGGTGTGCGCAGGAATACGCGCCGTACGGGGACCTGGCGGGCAACGTGAAGGCGGGTGGGCTGCCGGAGGAGGCGTGCAAGCGCGTGGCGCAGCAGCTGGCCTTCGCGCTGGAGTTCCTGCACTCCAAGGAGCTGGTGCACCGCGACCTCAAGCTGGAGAACGTGCTGGTGTTCGCGCCCGACATGTCCAAGATCAAGCTGTGCGACTTCGGCGAGACGCGTCGCGACGGCACGCTGGTGTCGAAGGTGCGCTGCACGTGGCAGGCCTTCCAGCCGCCCGAGGTGGTGGAGGTGGTGCAGAACGAGCGCTACCACTGCCGCGTGGCCAGCGACTGCTGGCAGCTGGGCATCGCGCTCGTCGTGTGCCTGACGGGCTGCCCGCCCTGGCAGTCGGCGGACGTCATCTCCGACCCGGCGTACTGCGCTTTCTCGCGCTGGCAGAAGCGCCGCACCACCAAGCTGCCGCCGGCCTTCAGCCGCTTCGCCCGCGCCTGCTGCGCCTGCTGCGCGCCTGCTCGAGCACAAGCCCGACAAGCGCGCGCCCGTCGTCGAGTGAACAAGTACCTCAAGGACGCGTGGTGGCGGCGCGCGGCGGCGGCGGCGGTTGCAGCTCCGGCTCCGCGCCGCGCGAGTCGTCGGCGGAGACGCGCCGCACGCGCCCGACGAGGCAACGCCCACTCAAGAAGCTTGCTCAGCAGCTACGGCCTGGAGACCACCGTCACAGAAGCTCATCTCGAACGCGTGTGGGAGTGGGTGCTGGCGTGCGAGGCGAACGCGGAGCCCAGCCTCGAGGGCATCTGAAGCCGCCCGCCCGCGGACGCCCGCCCGCGCGCCCGGCCACCGCCCCGCCCTCCGCCGGCGCCCTGCGCCCCGCCCCCCGCGCGCGCGCGCCGCGCAGCTGCTGAGCCGCGCCCACGCCCACGCACAGGCGGACGCGCCTTCAACTCCTCGGCTTGGCGGACCAGGGCAGTTCTGAGTTATGCAGCTTACTACCAAAGATAAGATTTAGAACGCATCTGCGCGAAATACTCAAAAATCACGTACAGAACGTGCAAGTAAATAATTTTTGATACTGAACTCCTGTACTCTGGTGATAATCCATGGTATCAAAGTAGGGTTTTTGATATTCCCTCTTGAGTCGCCCCTCACTACTCAGTTGTTCTGATGCGTGTAATGGGACGATGAATATGACGGAGAGAAGTGTACAGCATAAGACTGTAAATGTTCCAGACAATAGGTGTATATTTCGTTGTTTTTTACATCTTGCAAATACTGTCACTGAATGTGCCATACCAATTAGTTTGTAATCAGTACGAATGAAATAAGTGATATGAACACTTGTGAAAAAGATGATCCCGACTGCGTCGAGATTAGTGAGTGTTGATAGTGTGACGAACGTTTCTATTGTAAATAATGTTTATAATGTTCCGCATCAAGTCACAGGATGCAAAAACTCATGCCAACAGCGCCTCCTGTGTTAATGTACGCTCGCAAACAAGGCGAACTATAGATTTAACTAAAAACCTTCGATAGATGAGCAGAAGCACGCTTAGCCTACGGAGCCGACTTCCCTATTCCAAGTCGACTGCATCCTGCTCAATCCCTTAATTCTTGGGCGCCCCCCCCCCTTTTGTCCTTTTTTACTCGGGCAAATAATTCAGTCTCTGCCCATGCGTTGGCTGAGCCGTGCGAAAAATACCCGAGATACCTCAAGTCTGCTCTTAGGGATCCATCAATTCTTCAGTCAATTGTACATAGTATAGTAGATGGAGATAGTATTTTTATCACGAATGTAGAAGAATAATTTTTACATTGTGTCTTCTTATAAGTATACACAACACTTTGTATCAATAGTGAAAACATATTTTGTAGAAGCATCAGCATACTTACAAAACTTTTAATGCATTTTTTATCTTCCAGAGGACAGACTAACTCGTTTCTCAATGTTAAAGGTTAGTGACTTGCCTAGAACACAGTACTGGCACAAAAATAGGTATTCATTGGTCGTTAGCTGTAGCCTTTTGAATGAGATAACATTATTATACATCTTTAGAAATAGTGAACAATAATTCCTTTCGGTTCGCATTTATGAACCATTCTATGAAGGAACATAAGTAGAAAGCACTTCTAATGAATTTCGTATTCACTTAAATTGAATTAGAATTTTGATATGCGGAACTTACACAAAGTAGTATATTCGACGTAATGATCGGACACCAGTTAAAAGATAATAAGAAGTTAGCTGACGTATTAAAAACATTGTGAAACGAGTTGCTTTGTCCACTGAAGCAACTATATCACTGAGTGAGGTTAGAATGACGGCCAGTCGCCAGCGCCTCTGGCCAAGGCCCACGCCGAGATCTTGCGAGTAGTTCTTCATCTATCTCAACGAAGGGGGCGTGGCACCGGACGTAGCAACGTTGCCGGCCCTCCGCGAGAATCTTCCACTGACGTCGCGCAGCTAAGCGACGACTGTTTTTTCTTCCTGCAGGCTCATGTTCTGGAAATGTGCCAAAAGTCCATCTTTCCTGGAAGGACTTTAGATAAAAGATTGTAAATGACGTGTATATTTCTTTTGTGTATCTTGATGATACTTGATCTCAGTACCTTGTAAGACTTGTAAGTTAATATTTATATAATTATTTATATAATTTATATATGTTGATATATTATAATAAAATATATTAACAGTAAGCATTTTGTTTCAATGCTGAATACTTAATTATCCTTGTGTTCTCCTGAATTCACAATATTCCCAGAATTCAAGTACTATTATTAGTTATTACTTATGTATTATTATTACTATTATATTATTACTAATTATTATTATTACTATATTATTATTATTACTATTATTATTATTACTATATTATTATTACTATTATTATTATACTATTTTTTATTATTATTATTATTATTGTCTTACATTATTCACAGTATCTACTGGTCGGTATGTCAACCACACACAGGTATGATGACCAGGTGTGTGGTTGCTTACTGAAGGTTCAATGGCTTCTGACAATACGGCATGTATTCAAAATTATTATTATTATTATTATTTTAATTATATTATTATTATTAATAATAATATAATTAAAGAAACTGTAACATTAAGTTATAATTTCCTACCACGAGCCTATAATAATGAACGGATAAACGCATCCAATAGCAACCCAAGTAATATCAAGATGACAATACCTCTTAGCAGTGATTTGTTCTGTAAATTGTAGATCTTGTACAGTTCACTTTAGTTTAAGATGTTACTATGACAACCAAATTGCACACAATCAAACCATCACGCTTCCTTTGTTAACCGTAGAATCTACTAACTTTTGCTACTCTGTGATAAAGGAAGAAGTGATATTTTATTATTTAAAACGTATGCTAAGAAGCACTTGCATGGCAAGAAGTGTAGTATTTCATTTGCTAGCAGTGAGTATTGCTTCCTTTATAGGATAGGAAACAGCCGGGTAAGTGGTAACATTTTGTTTGAACTGCCGCGCGGTCTACAGTAGCCCTAGATAGCGAGCGCCCTCTGGCAATAAGCCAAGCAACCAACTCCTAGCACAGAGAACAGCTGCCGTTGGCGCCATTGGGGACATTTCGCCAGTGTCCATGATCTGTTGCGTACGCGAGAAGCCATGTTACATTGATGGATGTTAGAGTGGCTACTAATGGAAGTGAACTAATATGAAAACATTGTACATCAAGATTGTTATGCATTGTCAAGATGAGTAATTAGCATTGAGAAAATATAAAGGTAAGGATTTAATATGTTTATAAAACCACCTTAAATTTAATTCAATACTGTCAGAAACGAATTTGATGAATTTCGGAGAGAGTCAACTTGAAAATTTGACGAGGCTCACTTTTTCATGTTCAGGATATATGAAAATTAGGGTTAAAGTTTAGTGTACGGTACACCCTTAGAGAAGCGAGGCGGCGGGGCTTGAGCCCTAATTACTGTACGTGCTCTAATAGAAATGAGTAAAACTTCCGAATAGATTTCCATGGTTCGCCCTTTATATGATTTGTTCCCGCCGCGTTGTAACGCCAATTTACTTCCAAAAGCAAGTTTTCTCGCTTCGCTCGCCCGGATCCAAGTCACGGCGAGGCTCGGACCTTCGGCCCTCGCGTTCACTATAAACATCCTTGAGTCTATCCAACGCATAATTACCAATTCAATTTTATACGAAAGCACTTTTCAAGAAAGCCTCCAGAATTCTAACTGCCTAGTTAACGCCGAAACGGCGCGAAGTGTCGGTTTAAACTTCCTTAGGTTGTACCGTATACTACATTTCCGCCAAAAATTGACTTTGATTATGCTGACGTGAAATTAGAAGAACGGTTGTTTGTCAAAATTGACATCTAGACTTCAAGGGTTCAAAGAATTAGAGGCATTGTGCGACCGCATTTTCTACAACACTGCAGCGCAGGGTTGAGAGGAAGCGAGGGATTTGTTCTCTCTTTACAGCATTCTGGAACAATAGGCAACAAAAATTTTGAGTTTTTAATAATAATTGAAAAATTATAAAGACAGCATACAAATTTAACCCCATGTCACATTCCATTTGCATATACTATTTATGAAAAAAGGTCATGTGTATTTCTACTAAATTTGCAGTTTTCACATAAATTTCGAATATACCCTATTGGATTTCATCTTAGGAAGGTCCAAAACTTCCAATCGCATGCTCTTCACCTTTGTGATACAATCCTTCCCATTTGAACCTTAATATCTACCGATTGTGTTTCATATAATTGTAATGTGAAGATACTCATTTGAACGTTCGTTCAGACTTTTCCATTCTCTCCTCACGCACTTAAAATACAGTTTATGAAGCATTTGACTGGTAATTTTATCTTTTAAAGACATATAACTTATATTAAAATTATTCCGATAAAATGAGATTTTACTTGACCTCTGTAGGTCTACCGAACAAATTTTTTACTAACACAGTCATAAAATTACCACTCTTTATAAGACTGTTACCCCGCCTAAAATGGTAACATACGCTAGGTCACTATATGCGGTGTTAAATTGTATTTAATTTAGACACCTTCAGTTTATCACACACTTTCAGTTTGGACTGTATTTATAATTTACCGAAGAGCGAGGCTGAAAAGCAATCACATACTTACTCGAGACGCGAGGAAACGCGGCTTAACAAAACCTTTCTTAGTTTTAGTCTTGTGAAATGTGCATACTGTATATTGCAAGATAATTAGTTTGAAAGGAACTATAACAACTATTTTCGTCTTAATTATTTCAATGGTTTGAAAAAGTCAATAAAATCATACAATTTTCATGAGCAGGATTAGGTGTAACAACCATCATCCACCACCCAGACAGATTGCACTGTCCGCGCAAATATGGGAAAGGGGAATACGTTTACTGTTTCGACGCTACCTATTTATTTCCCCATCAGTTGCTCTCGCGTAAAACTTAGACCAGGAAGTGCGTGTGCGCGTGCGCGTATGCATGCATGTGTGCGTGTGGTGTGTGTGTGTGTGTGTGTGTGTGTGTGTGTGTGTGTGTACGTGAGCTCGCATGCGGGAAACCAGTTGGGAAGGGGAGAACCGCCATAAACCCTCGTCCACCTACCGTGCTTTAAGATAATATTCACTATTTTTGAACATTTGGTACAAACTCTCTTACTTTCTCGCCACCAGTTACAAACTGAGCGCTGGGACACAACATAACACATTATTTGTTGTTTTATTTTAACGATTTTGTAAAATGATAATTATACTGCATATTATGTTCTTCTACAATTTCAGCTTTCTTAAGCAACATTCCA